ATGAGCAGAGCGCTCTCTCTTTCTCTGCTTCTTGGTGTGATGTCTTGAGCTGTTTCTCTCCACCACACTCTTCCACCATGATATTCAACTTCATCTTGAGCCCCAAGGAATGGAGCCAGCAGTCTATGGACTGAGACCTCTGAAACTGTGAGCCCCCAAATAAACTTTTTCCTCCTCTAATTGTGCTACTCAGGTCTTTTGGTCACAGCAGCAAAAAAGCTGACTAAAAAAGACATAAATAAAAACTAAACTCATTATTTTTCCCAAGCATCTTTTTATTTCCAGTCCTACCATTAAAGAACAGCTTAGAAGTAAAATTATGGTTGGTGTAGAGCAAAGGTACATGTACAATACATGCCTAGCATGTGCAAAGTCCTGGGTTAGATCCCCCAAATTAAAAAAAAAAAAAAAAGAAAGAAAGAAAAAGAAAATCTTAGGTCTTAGTTGATGCTTTAGCGAAGAAAAATAGTTAATTAGACTACTGGGGCCAAGAACTGCTTCTTCCATCCTTTCCTTTTCTTCTTCTAGGGTTCTGGGATTTATTACATATGTAAAAGTGTGTGAACAGGGATGGGAGTGTATGTACTGGTTAGATAACTAAGTTTTGCACAATTGCCATGTTTTAGAAAAAGCATAGAAAGCAAAGGGTAACTGCCATTTTACAACAGTACATTTTACAACAATACATTTTACAACAGTACATTTTACAACAGTACATTCAAATTTCTTCTTCCCCAGTCTTAAAATACATGACTAATATGAATTATTTAATGACTGTTAGGTATGAAGAGATTAAAGAAAACATGTTTCTCTGTTTATTTTATTTTGCTGAGGGTAGGTGGTTACTAGTTACTATATCCAGAATGAGAAAATTCTAGTTACTTTGAACCTTCTTGCTAGGATTGACAATAATGGTTGTTATAAAATCTTTTTTTATGGAGTTCTCCCTATATCTCTACAGGTCCTCAATGTGTAACTCTTAACTCTGAGAAACAAAGCTATCACAAGAGACAAGACTGATGACAGCAAATCCAATGTGTGTGTGATCTTCCTTTCATGATTAAATATATGAATTAACAGCCCTATAGCCAGAGAAAAGGACACTTAACTTTGGATTCAAACCAGACTGGCCCAATCAGGCTAGGTCTAATCAATGGAATAGAAACTAAAGTCCTAATACATCCTCTTCCACCTTCAATTTAAGAACAGGAAATAAGAAAGGGCTCCACAGCCATGATAAATCACTTACCTACACAAGTGAGTCGTGGGATCTTCTCACTGACATGAAGCTGCAGTCCTGTCAGCTCTTCCCCATATACTGTTGAATTAGTCAGGTCAGGTTTAGTGTTGGAAATGCCTGTGACAGAAAGATAAGCATGTGGGCCTTCATGAATGGGGATGTCTGGGAGTTCGAGCTATTTCTCAAAGGAACACCCCAACATGAAGGGAAATGTGAAGGCTCCAAGACCACTTAGGGAAGCTTACATGAGAATACTGCATGGAAAAGATTAAGACACCAGTTTTCACTATTAGACCAGGACATATGTAAAGGCCACAAAAACAAGAATCTGGACAGGTAACTAGCAGACCACTGTCAGGCTGGTGCAAGGATCGTGATAGAGATTTYGCCAGTGGTTATTCTGAGGCAGTGTGATTTAGTAGGAAAGAGCTTGGACTCAGAGCYAATCACAATTAGTCCCATCTTAATTTGGCACTTAAGAGCTCTGTAACAATGAGCAAGTGCTGAGCTGGCACTCACTTCCATCATCTTTAAAGGGAAATACCCACTTCATAAATTAAAGATGTTACTGTACATAACTCTCACAAATGTTCCTGGAATACAGAACACTTTCAATACAAGGAAGTTCTGACTATAACTCTGCAACTAGCTCCAGTTCCTGTGTCTCTAAATGACTTCCTTTACCCACAGAACTTAAATTTGAGCAGATGTCTCTGAGTGCAAAGAAAATGCCTAACAGTTTTCCATCCTTTCCATCTCCCTTTGTCAAAGCTGACCCATGCCCTCACCTCCTGAGACCATTTTCCCATAGGTCTCCAGCATGAGATCCCAGTATTGCTCCTTTTGACTGGAATCCAGGTGTCTCCAGTGCTCCTGGAAAAAATACAATGCTGTCACTCCAATGAAGGTGTTTAAACCTGCATTTCTTTCCTATAGGAAAGCTGACAAGAATGGAATATGCTGTGGGATTCTACTCATCAGCAGATCTAATAACTTAAGGGAGAATGGGTCAAGAAACAAACAGGGAAAGAGGAAAATGACAATACTTCACATCAGTATTTTTTGTTTTGGTTAGAAAACACTTAGGGCTTAAGTTCTGGTTTTGTGGGAGACTGCAGGTATTTAAGAGTGGAAAACATACAGGAGAAGCCTTTTCTATACTGTTCCTTTTTTTCTTAACTCTTTCAAGTGCTTATAGTATGAGTCTGGCAATAGAAACTGATATATTCATTATTTAATGAAAATTCAAGAAGGAAAACAAAGAAATTTAAAAGGAACTTATTGGGAAAGCAAGTAAAAATCAGTGAAAATGTGAGAAGAGTTGATAGTGAAGCCAACTGTTTTGTAAGCCTTACTCTGAAACAAAAATTGGTAGATTCAAAAGACAGATGTTGCAGCCATTCACYCCTGGAATTTCTCAACAGTTCTGTATGCACAGCCTAACACCAAATTAGTTTTATTCCTAGTCAGGGGAAAACCGATATGTTTTCTGGAGCAAGGTATCCCTCTATTATCCACAAAGCAGCCTTCTTTTCCCATGGAACCAGACTAGAAACAAAATTGGGAATGCCACCCAACTAGGATTTACTTTTAAAAATTCTAATTTCAATCTCCCCACTATGAAGTAGACCATTGGAAACTCGGAATGATTAGCACCCATCCTTTGGAGTAGAATATATTGGGCTTCAAGTCCCAGCCGTGCTAATTTCTAGTTGTATAACTTCAAGCAAGTTACTTAACCTTTTAGAGTTCTGGTCCTCACCTAATGACAGTACTGAACTTAAAAACTTGTAGGGAGGTTTGGAAGAAACAAGACAGTGTCTACTGTTTTCAAAGCACATCATACATTTAATTTATAGCAATCATCAGTTTATTAAATACTTACATGAGTATGTATATATATGTATAACACACACACACACACACACACACACACGTATTTGATTAATCATCACCTCTACTAGCACTAAACTCAAGAAAAGGACTTGGTCCTACTCTCCATATATTGTCAGGCTAAAATAAAGCTCGCAGACCAAGTCCTCAGTAGATGATATATTATTACCATTCTCTGAAGTCTCCCAGACTCATCCCYAGACTTTGCAGGAAAACTAMGGAAGGKATTCTGTTTATTTTCAGGGACCCTTAAGTTTATGGCCAGTCTTTATATTGTAATAAGCCAGAGGCAKAAATGAGGAGAGGAATGATGAAGTCATCTTCCTATCACATACAATATATATATCCCTCAGGAATGGCATTCTCATCCTGAAGTAAATCTGTCCTAGTCATCAAAGAAGGTAGTGTTATGATTTGGATGTGAAGTGTTCCCCAAAAGCTCACATATGAGACAATGCAAGAAGGTTCAGAAGAGAAATGATTGTGTTGTAAGAGTCTTATTCCAATCAGTGAATTAATCTCCTGATAGAGATTAACTGAGTGTACTGAAATGGTAGGGTGTGGCTAGAGGAGGTGRAAATTGGGGTATGGCCTTGGGGTACATATTTGTATCTGGCTAGTGGAGCTTCTCTCTCTGCTTCCCGATCACACCTGTGAGCTGCTTCCCTCTGCCACACTCTTTCACCATAATGTTATTCTTCTTTTTTTTTTAACCAAACTATCTTTACTGTTTACAGTAGTAAAGGGTAACATAATGTACAAATTGTGAACAAACAACAGAGCCAACAACATCCCACCAGAGCCCATACAGCAAAACAGGAAATGAGGACATTTCTGCAAGATCTCAAGCAAGCAAGGTGATGGGTCACTGCCAGGGGACTATAAAAGGCAGAGGATGGCCATCAAGCAGCAATGGATCCTTACAGGACGATAGGCAGAACTATGAACATTTTAATTGGTATAGATTCCCAAATATCTCACAGAACTGGATTCACTGTTCTAATGCATAATTTCGATACTTATTTGGACAGTGGCAAAGTAAAAATCCATAAGAACACTAAAGTCACCTTTCTGTGGGTTTCTTTTGCAACCACACTTTGAAGCAGCTCTTTATAACATAATTGCAAATTCAGTGATATTTCATTTTACTTTATATAAAGACCATAATTATCTGTTAGAAGTAAATCTGAGGCCACGATACAATTACCAAATGAGAAATATGGTAATTATTTCCTAGTTTTGAAAAGATAAAAGCTGGTTTTGGTTGTGCCAATCATTGCCCACATAACCACACCCAGGCACTGAATGCAAAGGTGTCATCCTGGGCCTCAGACCCAGAGGGAACACACTCAGGAGCAGAAAGCACTTGGGCCTTATTACTGAAGGACTTATTTTGTTTTTTACCTTTGAAGAAGTATTCCAGTATTTTGCCTTCAACTATACCATATGCTTGATAAAGTCTATCATTTGAAGCTTTTAGAATAATGCACCTGGTGGAATTCTACCCCCAACACTCTTCCACAGATGCACAGTGTGAACATGAGCTCTCCACGTGATTCGGACAAGTAGCTCCAGCAGTAACCACTACTCCAGGGGTGAGAGCCTGGCCACAGACTGAAAGCCAACATTTGGCCACAAGTTTGAAGGAAAACATGTTTTGAGAGGGGCAATGAACAAAACCAAGAACAAAAGCAAACCCAAAACCTTAAAACTCATTTCACAAAGAGAACAATGTGATTGGCCCAATGTAAGCTGTAGACTCGTCCCTGCAGAGTTTTGAGCTGCACTTGAAGTGCTTCAAGGATCGTTTTGGTGACTGTCCTTGTCTTTCTCGGACTCCCCTGCGATCAGCATGGTCGCTCACCATTCAATAACAAATGCAAGGAGGATGGCGGGGTGTGGGGTGGTCCCTCTGGAGGCCATGCCTCCCGTCTGCTGCTGGAACACGTCGATGGTGTCCTCAACCTCCAYCTCCAGYTGGGCTGGAGTGTCTGTTTCATTAATTGGTTGCCCATCAAACCTGAATCTAATCTGTCTCATTGACAAGCCCTGCCTCTTGAAGTAGGCCTTCATCAGCTTGCTCAATGGGGTGTGCCTCTTGATCTTGAACTGCACCACTGAGCCATCCTGCCCCACCACCTTCAGGTTGATATGGTCATYCTCCGTCTTCACACCCTCCTTGGGCTTCTCCTCGGGCATAGCTGCGCAGCGACGGCAGCGAGACACAGAGGTGGAAGAGGCAGTGCAAAGCGAGTGAGTCACACTCTGGGCCCCGGCCGCTCTCCACCATAATGTTCTGCCTCATCTCAAACTCCGAAAAAGGGATCTGGCCTTCTATGGACTAAGACCTCTGTAACTGTGAGCCCTCAAATAAACTCTTCCTCCTCTATAATTGTGCTGGTTAGGTCTTTTAGTCACAGCAGTGAAACAGCTGACTAAAACAGGTGGAAATGACTCAAGGAGAAAGGAGACACCAAAAAGTCTTGAACTAGAAGATGCTCAGCCAAAATAATTTTAAAGGAAAATCTGAATMTTTTAGTGTGGAAAAAAGGCAGGAAGCTAGAACTATAGCTAGAACCACATTTTAAAATATTTTTAATTGTCAATGGACCTTTATTTTATTTTTTTATATGTGGTGCTTAGAATCAAATCCAGTGCTTCATACATGTTAGACAAGCATTCTATCACTGAGCCACAACTCCAGCCCTAGAACCACATTTTTAATATGAATTTCAATTTAAAATGTTTAAAAGTCTGCACTAAGCCAGGGATACTGGTGCATGCTTATTATCCCAGTGATTGGAGAGGCTGAGGCAGGAGGATAATAAGTTCAAGGTCAGCCTCAACAAGACCCTGTCTCAAACTAAAAAGTAAAAAGGATTGAGGATATATAGTTCAGTAGAAAAGTTCCTCTGGGTTCAATCCCCCATACCAGTTAAAAAAAAAAAAAAGTATGAGCTGCTGGCAGTTTATTTTGTTAATGCTCTATAAATAAGGCTATTTTAATAACCTCCTGAAGATAACCAGCCTGAGCAAATCTTGCTGAAAACAGGAGTCCTTAGTCTTCATGGTCAGAACACATGGATCCTCACTTCAATGTTAGTAAAGAAAAGGACACAGCCACCAAACTCAGTAATGTCTGACTGGATGTCCAGCTTGCTCAAGAAAAGGACTTGGTCCTACTCTCCACTGCCTGTGACACAGTAGGCACTCAACATATATTGTCAGGCTAAAATAAAGCTCTCAGACCAAGTCCTCAGTAGATGATATATTATTACCATTCTCTGCAGTCTCCCGGACTCATCCCCAGGCTTTGMAGGAAAACTACGGAAGGTATTCTGTTTATTTTCAGGGACCCTTAAGTTTATGGCCAGTCTTTATATTGTAATAAGCCAGAGGCAGAAATGAGGAGAGGAATGATGAAGTCATCTTCCTATCACATACAATATTTCCCTCAGGAATGGCATTCTCAGTCCTGAAGCAAATCTGTCCTAGTCATCAAAGAAGATAGTGTTATGGTTTGGATGGTAGTGTTATGATTTGGGCCTATTCCATGGGGACAAGAAGAATCATCAGTAAAAGACAAAAAAGGATATAAGCCTCAAAGCCCACAAGGGTTCATCARTTTATTCAAAAGCCAGAAAAGTTACTTTCAGGAGTCTCTGAACAGTGTACCTCCAGCTTAAAGTGACACACTTACTCAAGGAGCTGCCAAGATGCTCAAGAGTATGAATGAAGCCCCCACTTGAGACACAGAATGCAAATACTAGCCATCTTGCTCTTTTCTCATATTTAGAGAGAAGAAAAAAAGTCCAATTTCCAAACAGCTCTATTTTTGTGTGGAAATAGCACCATCTTGTGGATTGACAAGACATTATGACACCTGACTTCACAAGGAGTGCTCCTATCCTATATGTTTGAAAAAAATATCTGGGAGGTAAATGCATCCATCCCTCCAGTCTAGATGAGGGTCCAACTTAGTCATGGTTTCTGATGATAAAGTACTATTGTGTAGTGATAGTGACCCCACTTCATTATTCTAGTATTATTCACAAAGCTCCTAATGCCTGCATTAGATCAGAAGTAATTATTTATATTTAAAATTTCCTTCAAACTTCCAATGAATTCATTAAATATCAAGGTTTTTCCTGAGGCAGATAATTGTTTTTAGTTTGGGGGAGGGATGTTGGGATTGGGTGTGGATGATGTTTGTTTGAGTGGTTCATAATCAGTTACTAGCTCCACGTAGAAACATGTATATGTATATGTAATTGTCAATAATGAATTGGTGCTGCCAAGTATTCTGATCTTTTAAAGTTCTCCATAACAGGAAATTGCTAATATCCGTGTACTCCACTAGTTAAAACATGTTAATAAGTTATATATGACTGTCATAGGTATACTGTATGTAAGAGGCAATAATCCTCCATGCCTGATTGAAATATTTCACAGAATACCTCATTCATTCATCCATCCATCCATTCATTCATTCATTCAGCTAGAGATTAAACCTTTGTTCTCATGTACTCTAGCACTGAAGTATATGTCCAGCATCCCAAATCTTTTTCACCAAGTAACCTCCTGCTTAACATCTTGACTTGATTTCTGGAACCCTGATTCACTAAAAAAGGCATATTCCTCTCCTGCCACCTCTTTGTTCTCCTTCGCCAAAGATAAACTGCAACACTGGTATTCTACTTTCTAAGTCTCTCAACCCAGAAAGCTGAAACTCAAACCCTGGTCTAGATATGGCATTAAGGACCACCTATTATTTATAGCCTTCTCTATTTTTGCCTTTACTCTGAAGTACTTCCCAAAACTAGTCCCAAGAAGAGCACTTTCAAAATTTTAAACAATATTTCAATTGAGATGTATTGATTCMTGAAGAATTTTTTAAATCAAATACAACTTTTCAAAGTTAGTAATTACATAATCAGCACCACATAAAAATAAACAATTACACTTGTCCCAGAGACTTTGTTTTAAACCCAGAGTAGAGTATCAGGAACTAGGTTCTCTTTCTGCATTGAACAACTAAAAAGGGAGACAAAATATATGAAGTGATGGCTTCCAGATGTCGCACATTAAGCAGAAAAGAGGTCCCTGAAGGCAAGCAAACAAACTGGGTCCTATAGTTGTCCACACATAATTCCTGGAGAACCCAGGCAGCATCACAGAAAGGAGGAACCCGAGTGGAGCCAGGAGGCCCCCAGAATTAAGCAGAAGGAGCTCAGAGTCTGAAGAGGTCACTGTGGTTAGCGTTAGCAGGGCTATTTAAGATCAGAGACGAAGAAGCTGTACAAAGAGGGGTTGAGAGATCTACAGAGGGGTCCTCCTCAAGTCAGAGAAAAGGATCACATGAAAGAATCAGAGGGAACATTCCTCAAACTCACACAGCTACTTTTACCAGCTAGAGTGGAAAACCCAGTAGAGTAAGAGGTAGTAGGCAGAATACTCAGAAGGCTACTGCCACAGAAGGGGGTAAAATTAACCCTATATTAAAGGCTTTTCTGGTTCTATAAAGTAATCCCACTTAGCCAGACATGGTGATGCACATCTGTCATCCTAGCAACTTAGGAAGGCTGAGTCAGGAGGATTGCAAGTTCAAGGCAGGCCTCAGCAACTTAGCAAGACCCTATCTTAAAATAAAATTTAACAGGGCTGGGGTATAGCTCAGTGGTAGACCACTCCTGGTTCAATCCCTACTATGGCAAAACCAAAAAACAAAAACTAGTAATCTCCGTTAATCCAAGTTTCACTTTCCATGGTTTATTACTCATAGTCAACTGTGGTCTGAAAATATTAAATGGAAAATTTCAGAAATAAACAATTCGTAAGTTTAAATTGCACATCATTCTAAGTAGCAAGATAAAATCTCTCACAGAACATGAATCATCCCTTTGTCCAGCATAYCCACATTGTACACACTACATTTAGTAACCATGTTGGTTATCAGATCCACTATTATGGTATCCCAGTGCTTGTTTTCAATAACCCTTATTTTACATAATAAAGGTCCAAAATTTAAGAGTAGTGGATATGTCAAAGAGAAGTCATAAAGTGCTTCCTTTAAGTGAAAAATACGAAAGTTTTCAACATGATAATTTTTAAAACTCATATGCTGAGGTTGCACAAGTTATGGCCACAGTGAGCAGAAAATATGTAGTCATTCACCTCATTTCATCTCATCACACAGGTCTTGAGTCATCTCACATCACACTACGAGGRTAAGAACAAAACAATAAGATATCTGAGAGACCACATCCAGATATATTTTATTACAATATATTGTTATAATTGTTCTACTTTATTATTAGTTATTAACCTCTAATCTTTCCTGATTTGTAAATTAATCATAGGCATGTTAAGGATATGAAAAAAAATTATATATGGTTCCAGGAATCCACTAGAGGTACTGAAGCACATCTCCTCCAAATCAGAGAAAACCACTGTATAACAAATTTTGTCCAACCAAATTACTGCATCCCAGAGTGAAGCTCAAGAACACTTATGGAAATACAAAAATATCCACTATCCAGGCTAGGAATGCAGCTTCACAAGCTCAAAATCCTACATTCAATCCTCAGCACACACACACAAAAAAAAAAAAACATAAATAAAGTTAAAATTAAAATTAAATAAAACTAGTGAGAACTGGGGCTGTAGCTCAGAGGTAGAGTGCTTGCCTTGCACATGTGAGGCACTGGGTTCAATCCTTAGCACCACATAAAAAAAAACAAATAAAATAAAGATATTTTTTAAAGTGAGAATATATTAAGGTAAACAAAAAACATATACTATATGCAGAACGATGAAAATAAAATTAAGACATGATTCCATTGTATATAAAATCTGAGAAAGCACAAACTAATGTGCGGTAACAGAAAGTTAGATCCTTAGTTATCTCAGGATGATGTGGGAAGGCAAAAAGGGACAAGAGAGAGGAAACTTTACAGTGTGGTGGGTATATTTACTATACTGATTGTGGTCATGGTATTAGGACCAAATATGATGTCAAAACTTTCCAAATTGTACATTTTAGATATGTGTAGTCAGTTTGCTAATTTTATTTTTACATAAAGTCAGCGAGTCACCTGTTGTACATTAGAAATAACCATTCAAATTAAAATGACTCCCATGAAAACTATACTAGGAAATAAAACAGATTTTTCTTTTCTTTTCTGTTTTGTTTTTGTTTT